ACTTCTGAGAATTCATTTATATTGCAAATGTACACACATATCTGTATCTGAAGTTCTTCCTTCCAACACCCCCTGAGGATAAGTACTAATATATTTCAGTTAGCAATACAGCATACCACTTCAAAGGCCATTTGGTAACGATCTCTTCCCCCGACTTGCTTTTATCAAATCAGTTGAGTTACTGGTTTGCTTTCTTTGACTCTAAGTTGTTAGTTTTTATATTCTCAGTAATGCAAAATATTTTAAATAGTATTGCATCTTAATTATTTTTTCCCTCTTATTTAGTGATATCTAGTAACTACCAGACCTGCCTCGGCCTTCTGATGCATTACCCACTCATCGGGGATGTACACTCACTGATTCTTAAGGCTCTGTTCCTTAGAGACCCAAAGGTAAGCTTTCCCAGTAGGATATGCACAATTTTAAGTTGGGTGAAAAATTGGCTTCTCTGTGTGAGTCCAAGAATTCCTAATGTGGAATTTGCCTGATGGCAGATAAATTGCCTATTGATAGTATTTGCCTAAAGTTGTAGGCCAAAATTCATACACCTCATTGGCCAGCACTTAGCAGGCAAATTACGTGGACACTGCCATGAGAAACTAGTGCATATATCTCTTGTCCCTCAGAGATTGTTCTGCCCTTCTGCCTTCCTCACAACTCAAGGAAATAAAGTTGAGGGACTACCTGTCTTTATAGGCAAACTTCATTATCATTTGTACCTCTCACAGGGGATGAGTAGAGCCTTGGAGGCCATATGAAGATCAAGAAAGTAGATCTGTAGGAAGGACCAGTTCTATAAGAGTGGATACAATGAAACACTAAATTATTTCATATTATGAATATACATTTCTTATTTGGGAGGTTAAGAGTAATCTAATAAAATAAAGATTTAAACAGACTTTAATGCTGATTTCTCTATTTGAGCACAGAGCGATTCACCAAAATTTTCTTTACACTTCAGAGAAAAAGTGTGCTCTTTTACAACTAATGTTATATTTCTTGAAAATAAGAACATTTAATGATCTAAAAAAATCTGTGAATCCTTGCTACTTTTGAGCCAAACAAAAATATTGGATGAAGTATAAGAGAGAAAGCTTCAAACACGAGTATCAGAATGCCAAGCATTGGATGGTAATCCCAGCCTTTGGCTCTTTGGCAAACCTCCCAACAGTCATGTTGGCAGTTGTCGAACTGTCTCTGAGTCAGTCAGTCTGTCTGTAGGTTCCATTGCCAAAGCTCTGTCTGATCAATTTGGGCCTCCAAGTTAAATGTAAATTTAGATTCAAAAGGATTTCTGTCCTTTCCTTGGTTGTTGACTTTAACCTGTGAGTATATCCTCTATTTATTCTTTGATTGATTTAAAATAATTTACTTCCTTATGCCTATATCCATTTTCTGTGGAAATATGAATTTTTGTATCATTTCTGTTATACAAAGCAATTTCATTAAGTATCAGAAATGCAATCCATCATTTCTCTGTGTATAAGGAAGCATACTTTTTTTCTGGTAAGGCTTAGGAGTCTAATTATGAAAATCTATAAGTTCCATATCTATGTTTTTGTGTCCATATGTATATGTAAGTTGTGTGAGTATATACTTTTTTACCTAAAAAAACCCAAGATGATAAAACATCTATAAAAGAATAAAGAATGAGATTGCTGGTCAATGAAGTATGGGTTTTAATCTGTAAACTTAAGACAGATTTTATCAGCTTAGCATTAGGAATTTTTAGAGTCATACAGAATGGAAAAATGGCTAAAATAGCAATTTGAATTTTCTACTTGGGGGATTTGTTTGTTTTAATTGAAGGAAGAAATGAATATGTTACTAAAACCTATCAATCTTGGTAATTTTTCTCTAGCTAAATATGACTGATCTTCCTATGAATCACTCACTCATCTAGTTTCAGAATTCTTTATACCACATCCATCATTGTTTATTAATGGAATCCAAATAGCCTTTCATGTTAGTGTGGTTTTAATAGAGTGCTTTTTATTTCAATAAAGTAGTATACATAATACAAAAGAGGATAATGAAGCAAATTCTACAAGCATTAAAGATATGGATTCTTTAAGGTTTAGGAAAAAAATAATAACATAAGTATCTAAAAAAGGAATT